AATTCTCTATATTATCAACATTCCAATAACCAGTGAATAAGCGTACGAAACCATTCTTCTAAAAGCCGTTAAAAGAAATGATAACATGGCAACTGATCTTCAATCAGAAATCATCATAAAGTCAAAGGACAAGATACTCACGATACTTAATACAGGTAAATCATATCAAAATCTATTTGTTTGTAAAAGGCAAGACCTTATTAACATAACAAACACTACTTGTATTCCAAACTTATTAAGCAATAAAAAACCCATTTGCAATATTGTAAACAGTCAGCACTTTCCGACTGTAGATGAAATATCTCCGGGTGTAATTCTGTTAAACCCTCGAAGTAGAAACGGAACAACAACTCCTTAACGGAACGTTCCTAATAAAGTTCCATAACGTTTCAATTCGTGTTAATGGAAAGACCTACACATCCAAAGAAATACCCCCTACAAGGCACTACCTTCCACACTTCAGTTAATGCCTGAAGAAAAGTAGCGCAAACGTCTCGTCTCTTTGCAAATGCTAGACGAACTTCAAACCAACAATACCGGATTAATATCGTATCTACAGACAGAGTCCGTTATCCACCAATACTCCACCTGCGGATTCGTAATCGGGATCACAATAATGATCATAATACTAGCATGTAAAAGCAGGGAAAATAGTACCAAAACAATAGTGAATAACCCAAAAATGGAACAAGTGCGGTCCGACAAAATTCCTTTGAGAACTGTGGAACGAAAGGTTCATAAAATCCCATTGAAGTTCAACAACATTCCGTATTTTTAATCTCGATTGCGGACAATCGGTTCTAAAGGGGGTAGAGTTAGGGACCATCCTAATAAAAGGCACAAATTCACGAATCACCCTTATAAGTAAAGTAAACAAACATAAAATTTCATAAACAATGAGTGTCATATGAACTCATTGTAAACACTTCTCACCGATATTCTATTGCACCCTACTATAAACATTTGTCACCAATATCCTATTGCACCCTACTATAAACATAAGCGCTGGCTGTCGATAATTGGATAACACGAGGTTTCCTCTAAGATAGTCTGTTAAGAAAAGTTAGTCTTTTACCAAACATCAGCTGTAACACCAAAGTTCCTAAAAATAAAATTTCTTATATAAAATAAAGAATAGAAAGATTATGTTTTAATTAATTAATCAAAAGCAAAAAAAGATAAACTCAATAAACCCAAAAAAATTAAAGACTTAATTAACTTACATGTTTTTTTTTTCTTCTTATTTATTTATGCATGACTTATTATTTAATTATTATTATTGTCTTTTTCCTTGCTCTTCCTTATATACTTCATACTAGTTTTTAATAATAATTAGTATAAGATGTACTTCTAAGAGTCAATTGAATTGATTTATTTTAGTTGAGTTTTATGTGTATGTGAATGAATAAATAAATAAATAAATTAATGAATTTAGCCAGAGAAACAAATTCTAAGAATAAAGTCTTAAATCACTAGCATCTTAGACTATCGGCAGAGAAATTGAACAAATGCATTGCTTATTTTCGTGCATATATTCTACTATATTCTATAAACTCTTCTTTAAATTTTTACAAAATTTCCCTTCATAGGCCATATTCGCGATTTTTGCTCGGTCGAGCTTCTTTTACTAGCCTGCTCTTTTCAAATGATTGCAAACTACCAAGTGGTTAATGTTAAATGCATGCGCTATTTGCTGACAGCTGATATGCCGGCGTTGTTCCAAGAGATGCAAAATTTTATAGAATTTTCAGTGCAAGGTGCATCTTTGACGTCAGAATTTCCGAAACGGTATTTAACAAGCCACTTCTGGATCCATCGTTCACCCATAGCATTCCAACCGTGCAGTTCACAAGTTTTTTTTTTGCAGCTTGTTTACCTCTTTTATAGTAAAAAAAGGTTCACGTATTTCTTTACATATTTTGCTCATATCCAAATCAATAAAATCTTTTAAACTAGGAAAGAATTATAAAACTATCTTCAACAAAAATTTAAGATGATATGTCACCCTTTAAGCACACGTTCGTTTGAGACAAGCACAAAAACCCCGGAGAATTTTTAATTTGGCGTAATAATAATAGACAAGGGCCTGATGCAAAAGAAATTATAAATATGTCATGTTTTTTACGAATAAACGTCAGAATATCAAAAAAAAAAAATACAAGAAGGTGACAAGCTTAACATTGCTGAACAATTTCTTCATAAATTCAGAATAATAATATAGCATACTTACGCTGAGATTTACTGAAGCATTTATATAAGCATTCTTTTCTAATGAATACTTATTTCCAACTTAATACTGGAAAAGAATAGTTACTTCGAACTTAATACTGAAAAAGAATACTTATGATCTAAACGGTGAAACGAAAACTAGTTATAATTGTTGTCTACCTACTAGTTGATATTTTTTCGTACATACATACTTTTACGTATGCCATAACACTTATTCATTTAAAGACACAGAGTTCTATTTATGTGCAAATAAAATGCAGTGTGAAATGATGGTGGTATTGGGAAGATAAAGGTCACCAGTGTCTAAATAAATCTCGATTAAAGAAAAAAATTTATGAAAAGAGACGAACGCTTTTGGACCGCCTAAGCAAAAATGATTAAATCCAAAGTTTAAAAATCAAATTGCAAAAATACCCTTTGAGGTGAATCTCAAGCGAAAAATGGGTAATAATCAAAAAATATATATATTGCTAGCTGAACTATGAATGTGAGGACTCCGGACAATCCAGAAGCTTGAGAAAAGAGTAAAAATAGTGTATATGAAGCAGAGCTAATTATACCATACTATTGACAGAGAGAAATAATAAAGCCAGCCAAATCATCTCAATAGAAAATATTGATGACGAATCGAAAGCACGGAGTATTTGTAGATATGGAACAATTAAAGCTTAATGTTTTAGAAGTACGAACGAAAAATTACAGCGGTAAAATGACGAAAAATACAAGAAGAGCATGATCAAATTTTGAGCAGAAAAAAAAACTGGAAAATTTTACAGCAGAACACAGAAAAGCCATCAGCGTTGAATTCTTTTCTTTATTTACTTTATTCTTTACTTTGTAAGGAAGCGTTTTTGCTTCCTTACGAAATACAAGTCCGTCCGCTTAAAAGTCCGCCCGCTTAAAAGTCCGCCCGCTTAAAAGTCCGCCCGCAATCCGCCACCAGCAAGTCCGATCTGCCCGCAGGCCGTTCTGTGAGCAATACACGGACAGCCCCCTCCAATATCAAAATCATAAAACACACACTAAGTATACCTATACCTTGTACAGATAAAATCATAATATCTAAACTAAAACACTAAATATGCCTATACCTTGTAACGAGAAAAATGTCTAAACACCTATTGTACAGGCCCACGTGAGTTAATTCATAGAAACAAACAACACATGTGTGTAAAGAGAAAAGTACAAGCACATAGTGAGGAGACCTCTGTAAAAACACAGAAGCACACCACAGCACAGATTAAGAACCCCAGTGTACCAAAAAGCTTAGATCCAAATTTCAAAATGTAAGAGCGGAGTCAAGAACCCAAATAAAAGAAAAACTTAGTTGCAAGAAGTCAATATGTCAAGAACACAAGTAGAATCTCAAAATGTTTAAGAACTCGAAGGTTAAACAAAACTCAAAGCACAAATACTAGTAGAATCTCAAGAACTCAAAGGCTAAATACAACTGAAAGTATAAATACAAGCAAAATCCCAACATGTTTAACATGCAAGAAGTAAACGTAGGTAGAAAATCGATGCATGCAAAACAAACTTCAGCAAGAATCTCTATGCACCGTTAGGGTAAACAAAACAAGCAGAATTGAACATAGGTAGGGAAAGAAATAGTAAAAACATACGATAATGCATAAACTGCATACACACATTGTACAAAGACACGATCACACATGTAAAAACACACAAAACACATGCAAACACCGTGCACTAGCACCCACATACCTGACGGTGATCGAATCACGCGATTTGGTATCTGAGTGCTTGTGAGGAGACATTTGAACGCACATAGCAATAAGTTAGATGTAAGTTGGTTAAGTTGTGTATAAGTAGGATCATGCAAGTCGCAACTGAGGTTGCGACGGCAGCCAACCTAAGCTAAGCATACCCATAAGCATATTACCCCAAACTGATGTAAACACATAGAGCATGTTGGCATGAGGACAGGCGAGTGAGACTCAGGCTATAAAAGAACAGCGCATCGCACAGACTCGTTCATTTCGGTGTCATAGCTGCCTGGAGGTAAGTGGTTGCAGACATCATGACAAATCTCTGTTTTTTTGACTTTACGGATAGGGAATGCGCTGGTTAGTATTAATCGCCATCCCTGAAGGACTTACAGGATA